ATGCTGTTCGCGCATGTTATCCAGGTTCGCTGACCAGTGGGATCCCAGCTCTTCTATGGGTCTATGGGCTTTCGATCTCGCATGCTTCATGCATGCAGATGTGCGCGTGAGCAGGCTTCCGTGCGCTGCGGGCGGATGAGGTAGCTAAGAAGGCCTCACCGGACAACTCCTAATTGAATGCACTTTAGATGGCAATAGTCTGCCTGCAGATGGCTGCTACGTGGACCGTGTGTGGCTTTCGGCTCAGAAGCGAGGAATATGTGAATTCACAATTGCCTTAACATCGGGCAAACTAGTATACTCCTCCGTGAGCTCATGCAAGACTGTAGCGCCGATCGCTACGCGTTCGTCATAGCGCGCCACAGGCGGCACGGATACCTTGTGTTGCGTTCCCAGTCAGAGAATGGCGGACGCTACGCGTTACCTTGTGGTGTCACGGATCCCTACCAAGTGAAGTTTGCAGGGATTGATCGTGCCTCCTTGGCCACTGCAGCCAAAGTTCTTTGCGAGACCACAGGCTTGGACTTCATCGAAAATGATCATCGGCTTCACCCGATTCGATTCCCGGCATCAGTGCAGTCGCGGCTTGGCCAACAGTACAGCTTCGTCAGTTTGGAGCTTCGAGACGAAGACTCTGTACATCTCAGAAGCGACAATTTGGAAGGATTGACTCTGCCCAAGACGGGTCAGAAGAAATTTTACTTGCGCCTCTCCCAAAACCATACGGCTTTCTATTTTGAGCCAGATCGGTTGAAAGCTGCCTCTGCGATAAAGCGTCAGTCTGGCGGAAAGCCGGCAAAAGCGCTTCGGGCGATGCAGGCGGTGTACACCCCAAACGATTGCTGTTTCACGGGCATATGGCGTGCGATCTTTGGCTGAATCTCCTGACAGGTTTCAGAGAGTGCAGTCTGATCGCTTTTCGGAGAAAGGCAGGTCCGGACAGGAGCTGCACCTCACCACACAGTTGCTGGAAGTAAGTCCAAAGCTTTGTTGATAGATGCTAGAACACGGTTGACTCAAACTAGGATCCCGCCTGCGCAGGAGATTCAGTAAAGCAGCGGCGCCTTAGTTCGTCATAGCCATAGCCCACTTTGAAGGTCTTTGAAGCGCTATGATGCCAGTAACTCCTCATCGAGGGGGCCGCTCGAGCCCCCGACGTCGAAATACTTGGATGCAGATGATGATGTGGCTCAGTTGAGCTGACTGCATTCTTCAGATAGCGGCGTGCCGTAACGGCAGGTATCCTGGAAAAAGTCTGCGGGTGCCAATGAACTCTGAGAGAAGGGTGAAGCATTGCAGGAGCCAAGTATGAGCCATATTCAGTCTTTATCCCCACTGATCAGGTGGGCAAAATTGTGGCGCGTGGCCTGGAGAAGCAGCTTCCTATCGCAGCTGCACGCGCAGATTTCTCTCCCGACCGTCCCGCGACCGCTAATGGCTTCTTTTGGGTTCCACGTTGTTCGAAAGGTGGGGCAAGGCCAGGGGTTCCTACGTGGGAGGCCGGCTGAGCTTCAACCAGAACCCCAGCTGCTTGGAGCCCAGCTCCCTGGATGTCGCTTGGCAGCACGTCATGCCATCAGCAAAGTGCCCAAAGTGATGGGGTTTTTATTTCTACGGGGGGGATCCTTTGAACCCAGGCCGAAGATCGGCAACGCTTCGTTGTCCAGCTTGAGGTCCCCAAGCTGAATGTTGGGAACTTCTGATCACAAACTCTGGCCAGAGCATGGCTCGCAATAAGGAATCAGTTTGTCCTTGCAAGATAGTTTCAGATTGCTGCTGTCCCTCTTCCAAAGGGCTCCTGCAACACATGCCAGGTTGCTGTTGAGAAAGCTGTGAAGACGGCGGAGACCAGGCTGGCAAATGCAACAGAAGCGCACCTGCTTCTTTTCTGAAGAGACTCCTGCATCAGGAGTTGGAGTACTATGGAGCAGGCTGCCAGGTGCACCACAATGTACGATTTCATGCGAATGTAGCCGTGCGAGAGATTACTCTGACCAGCTAAGCAAACTGTGCATTCTGGTCAGGCCATGCCAGCAAACATGTCGGCGAGCTGTGATGAAGCAGGCAAATGTTCAAACTCCACTCACTGACATCTGCATCCACAATCGGTGAAGTGGCTGAAGATGTTGGACGATGCGAGGCTGCTGAGATGCTTTGGGACGCGGGCCTGCTGGCTCGAGGACAGACTCGCCTACGTAAGATGTGGCAGCAGACCATTGATACAGATGCGGTGAGGAAATGCCGACATGCTAGTGATGACATCAGTGGAGGCCCCCGCCATGGGTTGAGATGTAGAATCCAGGGCATGTGAACAATAAGGCCAGACTGCTGTGACCTTGCAGCAGGCATCCCCATAGCTATGTGCTCTTGCAAGTAGGGAAGACGCAATTTGCTGGAGGGTGCCCTGGCGGCCTGCCTCACACATCTGCCGGCGGATGCGGCCGAGGCACTCGCCGGCGAGGCCATAGCAGAGCACATGAGAGCTGTACACAATTGCTACTACTATTATTATGACTACTACTCATCATTATTAGCACTATAACTATTACTATCATTAGTACAGAGATTTCGGTATGTCCGCAGCTCTCTTCGTGTGGAGCGAGGCGATGCTTCACATGCGCCCCCACGATGAGTCCTTCACCAAGTGCAAAACAATGCATTGCCAACGGCTGTGAAGTTTGCAGTCCAAAGCATTGCGTGATCAGGACAGCCCCTGGAAGGACCGGACAATGAGCGTTGGGTTGCAGCGCCAGTTCTGTAACATTTGAGAATTAAATGGAAAAGAACATGGAACCTGAAAGGGAAACCGTGCTTACGTATCGGTTTGCTGGTGTTTAGGACCTAGAAGGAGAGCGAATTCCTTCTCCAGTCCTGCAGGACACTTCTGAGCCGTGATGCGATGACATCCATCTTGTCGCGGAAGGAGGGCGAAGGTGCTGGTAGAAGATTAAACAAATGGTGGAAAGTATCACATCTTGCAGAAGTTTCCGTTTTCTTCTCCACTACGTGTAGCAGTCACCAAATCAGATTCCAAGTGACCCAATCCAGAGTTTGCTTGTGTGCTCAAGAGTTGCATATATGTTTAGTTCGTAAGGTCCTTTACAGTGGTGAATGCCTCTGCCAAATAGAGCAAAAACGTCCATGCCGCAGAACCCTACATAATCCCTGTACAGCCCTGTAATATATGTATATATATATATGTATGTATGTATGTATGTATGTATGTATGTATGTATGTATATATGTATACATGTATATATGTCTATATATATACATACATGGTAGCAGTAACTTCCATTTCATGTTCCGTTTTATTTTCCATTTGATTCTCCATTATCCCCAATATTTCCCCAATATAACCCCATATAAGCCTATAATATTCCCTATGTATTCCCTTGTTTCCATTTCATTTTCCTTCTTCTTTTCCATTTGACTCTCCATTTCACCCTAAGCCCTAAATGCAAAGCTCCAAGCCGGGCAAGGCATGCTGTTGTCGAGCTTGCCACTGATGACCTTGTCCCTGGCCGCTTGGCAGTTCAAACTTTTCCTTCCGGGGTAGTACATGGTAGTTTCCCAGAATAGGGGTACNNAGACCCGCAAATACTATAGTCCTTATTATAGGGACCCCCAAAAGGGTACCCTAATTTAGGGAAACCCCTATATAGAGATCACATAGGGATTATATACCCCTCATTTTCTACTAACCACCAGTCAGCTTTGGACATGTGGACTTTCGGAGCAGTGCAGTTCACTTCGCTTTGACCGTTGTGGCATCCAGAAATCAGGATACTCCAGCACCAGCCGAAGATCCTGCAGTGATAGTCTTGCTGTAACAAGCACTTCCAACAATTTTGATTAAAGGCAGCATGGGGTTTTTGCATTGTAGCGTAGCATGTAGCCCAGCACATCATGGAAGTGTGGAATCACAATATGGATGCGCCCGCAGCGGCAGATGGATGGAGGACCAGCTACTGTTCCAAGCACTGACCTGGAGTCGTTCGGTCCATTAGGATCATGAGCCCAGCCATGTCACTCTGCAGCCACCAGATCTTTGAGGCCATCGTCACAGTGCTGGCCTTTGTGCCATTGGCACGTGGCCTACTGAAGAGGACCTCCTGCCTACCCTTGTATGTATAGTTCTATAAGACAAAAGCCTTTTCCCAGCTTTGTTCGTACCATCACTGTTGGGGCAGATGAGACCTCGACAAAGTGCTTTGGTGTGTTTCCGCAGGCTGAGAGACTCGGACTTGGCCGATGAGGCATCGCCTGCGTTCTCAGCGGTGGAACCAGCCGAAAGCTAGTGAGCTCCCAAGACAGGGTTTGCTTCATTGTGACGCCTTGAAGAAGAGATCACAGGTTTCAGGGCTCATGTATGTATATTTACATAGTTACTTAGTTTGGACCATCGCTATAGCCAAGTTGGACGATGCGCAGCTACTTGCTGGAGCACTGTCGTCATGTGTTTCCTGTTTTGATCTCGTCTTCGGTACTTGCATGGTCGAGACTTGCAGTCTCAGGTTCATTCCTGTTATGGATCCCATGCTGTGGTGGTGCCGTGTCATAGATCGTTAGGATTGGCCAGAATCTCACTTTGTGTGTCTGCACTTGGTGCAAATGTGTAGGGTAGATAAGTGAAACCACACACGAAACAGCGCTGTTTTTGGGAGCCCCGTGCAGACATGGTGCCATACCTTGGCAACATTTTCCATCGGTTACACATTGTTCCCGGGATGTGAGACGGAAGTGCAACAGCGGTGCGCCAGTATCTGCGTAAGCAGAGCTGACGAACGCCTACATCTCTCACCTGCAGTTTCCGCTGGGTTCCCCCGGCTTGGCCGGAGCCAGTGGGAGCAGTGATGTCCTGCAGTACGCATCAGCGGCCAAAAACAGTGCGGGGACAGCGTTCAGATGCTCCTACAACTATGCGAGCACTGCCTTCTTTGGGCAGGTCTTGCGCCAGTTCAGCCTTTCACCAGTAGCGATGGAGACCTCGTGGCCAGGCATGGCTGCATTATGATAAACGATGTCCTTGACGCTGAGCAGCTGCAAGAGCTGCGAAACGTCGTGGACGAGGCAGAGCCTGCGTTGTGTCGTTTTTTTGGGGTCAGAGCTTTCCTAGCCGTCCTAGCCAGGATCTCAATGATTCTGCTGTTGAAGATTTGAAGATTTGTGAAGCACCGCGAGCACCCTTGTAGGTGTCGCAAATCAGGCTTGCATGAAGGAAGGCCAGCAAAATCCCGCAGTTTTCCAAACTAGTTGTCCCAAGCCTTCGGCTGACATGCGTATCCAGTTCTCAATGCTCTGCAGGGTTTTCATTGGGTGTGGACTCGGACAATGCTTGGACCGTTTCCCCGTCTTCTTACAGCGCTCAGCATTGCGGCCAGAGGCCAGCCCTAGCGGCCACGAAACTCCACAAAGTGAGACTTGAGCCGGTCCGGGTGTTCTCGCTGCCATAGCAAGTGATGGGCACCCTCTCACGGTACAGGGTGAAACGGAAGCAGCCCCTGCAATTTTCATGTCGTGTCACTCGCACCAGAAGTATGCCACAAGTCTCGGCCTAGGCGTGGGTATCTTGTCTGGGGGCACGCTGGTCACACCGTTTCCCCTTCACACCTCCTGTCTCTAGCCGTCCTCTGTTTCCAGTAGTACTCAATGAGTTTCAGGAGTTTGAATGGGGGCGGCAGGCCGAGCGATGGTCGTGTGCGATAAGTTTTTTTTGGTCTGGAATTGCTCAGTGCGTCAAAAGAAGAGCCGACAGGTATTGGGGCCTTGGAGACTTGAGGGATGTCTCCGAACAGATGTCCCAAACGAAAGTCTTCAGAAAGTTGAGATTTTTTTGGAAGGGCGCCTAGTTGAGCTGCCCTGGAGCAGGAGATGGCTCGCCTTGGCCACGGACGCTGCCCTGAAGTGCGGCTGCAGTCCATGCAAACCAGATCGAGAGGCGCTCCTCATTCAAACATGTTCGCAGCTGGCTGAATCTCATGCGATTGGGTAGCAGAACAGCGCTGAACGCCCTACCAAGCATCAGGCCTGGCAGAGCTGGCGACGCACTCGCTCGTGATGCAGTTAGCAAGGCTGGCAAGCACTTTTGCTGCCATCCGTTGCCAACAGAGAGCTTTCCAAGGTTTATCGGTGCTCCGAGAAAAGTGAGGATTTGCCTTGAACAAGCTTGGTTCAGGCGGTTGCTCTCTCCCGCCCTTGTTCTCTCTGACATGGAGAGTTGTCCTTGCCTCAGCATGCTTGCAACTTAGGAGCAAGTTCCAAATCTCTCACGGAAATGGCTTACTTGGCGAGGACTTTCGGTTGTATCTTGAACGCATGTTCTACCAGCAGGTCGAACAGATGTGGACTACGTGCGCAAGGAGTTGGAGGCCGAAGCGTAGAGCAGAAGAAGCAGTTCCAGTCCACTGCTCCTTGTCCTCATGGCAACATTTCCAGCTTCTCTCCGCGATCAGGAGACGACTTGGCATGTGGTGCATCCCTACAGCAGCGCTGAGTTCCCTGGCGTGGTGCGCCTGTGGTTTTTTGCAGCTTTTTGACGCGTGCCTCGACCCTGAAGTGTGCTGCCCTCCTCATGCCTCACAGCATAGAGAAAGCCGTTGCTGGTGTCCTTCTTGCTGGCAGTCTTGAGTGGGGATGGTTTGGACTGAATAGGTAGATCCCAGAATCAATGTCACCGTCGCGGCCTCATCAAAGCAGGACCTGTACTTCCATGGTTCTGGGAGTAGACGCTACGATAGTTTAGGTTCCCTTCCCGGTTAGTGGGAGTGGGAGTGTGACGGAACCTGTATTCAGTATTCAGTGGCTCATCAACTTCAAGACTCGGGCTTGCTGCAAGCTTGCCTGATGCCTGCCATGTTCTTGGCCCTCCCAGGTCACATGGTTTCTAGATCAGCTGGACACGGAGAACTCCACGTGGTCTTTTGTGAAGGCGTGACCTCTCAGAATATCACTTCATGCCCAGAGCCTGACCTGCAAAGAGTTTTAAAAAATGATCCGAGGATTGTCCCATAGAACCTTCTGCCAGGCGCCTCTGGCAGATGGTGGACACTTGCCGCAGCTGCCGCACCTCAGCTCACCCGAGGAGCTGCAGGCCGACAATCGAGCTCTTCATTAAACCGTGGAAGAAACCGGGACGCCACGCTCTTGTAATTGTAGGATCTTGCGCAACTCAGACAGGTGAATCAGGCAAACGTGTGTCAGTAGCTGTAATGCAAGAACTTGTACTGTCTGTGCTGTCTCCATATAACTGGGCTGCAATCTTCAAAAACAAATGCGTGAGCTGCTCAGAAGACAAAGCAGCTTTGTAGCCTCGCTCGTTTGCTCCTTGTTGGGTTTGGAGGAAGTCGGTGGTGGCAATTGCAAACTTACTGCATGACTTTTGCACATCAAATATCTGACATGATGGCTGCTGTGGTTGGCCGTGAGTGTGGAAGGCCGTGGCTCGTGGGGCCCAGCCTTTGCTGGCCAGTCCTGGGGCGGTCTGGTACCCGCCCTAACTTGCTTCAGCCATCCAGCTGAGGGAACCCTGACTGATTCCTGCTGCGACCAGGCTGTGCATTGGACCATACTGGATGTCAAACAATGTCGGCGCAGCTTCCTTTTGGAAGGACTGCCGCAGCATGCTGCCGTGACCTTTGCATGCGCACGCATGGCACATGTTTGCAGAGTTCCGAGCTCCCATGCTGCGCATAACTTGTCCTGTCTGCTTGAATGATTGCTGCGACTTCCACAGCTCGCAAGCATCAGGACTACGATGCGCAGACGCGGTACAAGCACCTGAGCGGGCAGAAGGCAAAGTGCTCTTGGATGCATGTGCTGTTGACCTACCTGTGTCAGTTTCCAGCCTGTTTTGTCTCTGCAGCAGGAGCAATCCTTCCGGGCCCTGACGGATGCGCAGAGAGCTGTTCAGCCAAGGGCACCGGGCCATGCATCTGGGGCGGGACGACACACTGGAGAGGGTCCCATGTGAATCAACGATTATCAGCCCGCTGGAGTTAGCGAGAATGCTTGAGTATTTCAAAAAACCACGAAGTGCTAAGGAAGAGCTATGCCCCACTGTTCTCCAGGCCCGTGAACTCTGCTTGTCAGAGGTACATTGTCGTACGATTGCTTGCTTTACGCCAGGCGACGTATGTGCGCGAGCATGTTGCTACTCCGCTGGCCCCGACACCAGAGGCCGGAGCCGAATGCCACCGCTTCCAGTATCTTGTGAGCCATGTATACAGCTCCGGTTGCTATGCACCTCCTGCATTTCTACATGCCGAAGTAAACCCCTAGCGTTTCGGCCTCTGTGCAGGAGTTGGAGCGGCTGGGCGATCCCGGAAGGTGCAATGGTCCGTCTCAAGCCTCCAAAGGCAGCGTCCCAGAAAGGCGTACAACAGCCTTTCACTGCCAGGCAGCTCGTTAGCATACTCCGGGCAGCCTGAGGCATCATGAATGGCTCATGTTATGTGGTGCTCAGTCCTTACAAAAGCCTGACAGCAACAAAAATAGGATGCAGATGAGGAGCGTTCCTTCACTCATGGAATGTGATCTATAGCATTTCTCTTACAAACAAGGTGTGGTCTATAGCGTTGCTCACAAGGTTTCACTCGCGTAATTCCAGCGATGGTGCAAGAAGCGCTGCTGGATTCATGTTAGAGGCACATGGGACTTCAAGCATGCAGTGCAATAGACAATCAGACTTAGACCCTACCAGTTGCAAACTGTGGGCCGTAGGCCCACTCAAAAGCCAAGTCAGAATTGGCACATCTTGGATCATCTCCATTCAGTTTGACAATGCTGGTGAAGGAAGTGCTCATGCGCGTCTCCACACGAAGGTTTGCTCATTAGGCATGTACAAAATGAAGCGAGCGAGCAGACTCTTGACACAGGGCTTGAGGCTTCCCACGCTCCATTGGTTTCAGCTGAAGCTCTTGAGTAGAGTGCATTAGATGTCTCGTGTGTATTGAGACAGAATGTGCTGCGCATGCATTTGCCCGAGCTTGGCTCACAGTGTGACTTTGCGTGAAAATTCGATACGATGACTCCAGCATAACGTTGCCCTGGGGTCATCCCCACTTGACCTCAAGCCCCATCCACCCGCGAGCTTTTCTCCTGCCTTTCGGGGCCTTTCCAAAGATGGCGCTGGCAATCATGGGCCCTACTAGCAGCAACAAGGCAGCAACATTCAGTCTCCACGTTTCTATCTCATGCCACAAATGGGTAGTACGGTTTCCGATGGTCCGCTTAATTCCCTTGCTCATGTTGGTGGCAAGTTGGTGGAGTTGGACAGCTTCTTGCTATGTTCCGACTCAGCCCTCCAAAAACCGACACATGCTCTGGCGACATTCCCTCAAAACCATCGAAGAACCCTTAAAGCCCTTTAGCCCCCTTTTAGCCTGAGCAGGCCGCCACTTCCACTGCATCCAAGGCCCGGGGCTTGGTCTTTATTTCCTCAACAAGGGGTCTTTCTTGGGGAGCAGCAATGGTGGTATAATATGTATATAAGTGGGCCTCAATATAATCACCATTATCCCTTATAGTCACGATTGTATGTGGGAGTTCTAAGTACTTCTTGGAATTATTCGAGACCCGCCAGTCACACCGACAGGGGAGGCGGGCTCCAATGCAGGAACGGATCTTCTGCTACTACCATCATAAGGTAGGTGATGAAAATCACATTTGTTTTTTGGAGGGGTTCCGCAATAGAATACGGCCAAGAATATTTAGGGTGCCTTTGAAGGGATCATCATCTTGACGTCCTTACTCAAGCTGGAGCGCCCCAGGTTGGGAAAGCCCCCGACAAGATGGACAGCAAGAAGGCCTTTGAGATTCCAGGCAGGAAAGTTTCAACCCAAACCTCCCCACCTCCCTGGTAGAAACGAATTTTCTCCCCACATGTTATGGTAAAAATGGTAATTGTAAACGCTAGCGCGCGCCCGCCTCGGCTGGCGGGGCTTCCCACTGTAGGAACATGTAATTATAGATATACAGGTATTTAAGTTAGGTATATAGATACAGTCACATGGCTATTACATAC